CCCCCCCCCCCTACAGGCGTTAAATAATGATCGGCCCCTTATCTATCTATCGGTCTAGTTTAAATTGCTCTTAATTAAAATGCCCTTGATGAGTTTCTTTTTGATCGGCTTTAAATTTAACACAAATTAAATCTTAAACAGTGAGAAAGTACAGCGTGGTTTGCCATTGCGGGAGATGAATAAGTTTTTGAACGAAGCCAGTCCTTACAATTGTTTCGGGAGAGAAAATGATAAATGTGTTTAGTCAAACGTAGTTTGATATTCTGCTCAAGTAAGGCTCCTTTAGTTTAGTGCATTATCTTTGACTTGGCGAATGAATCACTTTCTCGATAATCAATTACACAATTTCTTAGTGGTTGAACATAATTTATATGATCTGGAAATCTGACAACACTCAAGTCTTCATTTGAATTAACTTTGTACGTAGGTATTGACAATAAAGGAGAAAATATATTGTACGGTAAGTGGTAACTAAGGATAGTTTCAGCATTGACACGCACTCGATAATTATGTACTATTGTAAGTTATTGTGACAAAGATTACGCGTTTTTCTATATCTGCCAAATACGTTAAATACCTATTTTGTAATTAAAATTATATGTATATTAAAGTAAATAACGGTCACAAAAATGTCTCAGTGTCTGTGGATGTAACATCAAAAGACATAAACCAATTGAGCCTTGGTAAATCGTATTCTGGAGATGTTCCTGTTGCATTCCCTGAAACACTCATCCTCCCAGTACGAGGCTCCGGGAAATAACAACAGAGTTTGTGGGGTTTATTCCCCAGAGCCTCGTGCTGATGTCCATTGTTTTAGGCTGAATTTTAATATATCGAAATTGGTCTATTGTCTTACAGTTAAAATGCATACGATCGCGGCAATATCGGAGTGATCAAATATAAAATCAGCCAGTTTATGCCCACGAACCAACTGGAGAATGGAAGAAGTCGAGCCAGGAAAAGAGACCTTGACCAAAGTAATCCGCTCCATCTTTGAGAAAGAAACTGATAACAGGGCGATTCGTCTTTGTTGTGCACTGTTTCTTGACATCCCTTGCAATCTTTGGAAGCAGGCCATATTGAGATAAGCTGGCTTAGCCTTTTTTTTCTCTTCTCCTCTTCAAGAGGACGCGCTTTAGGCCTGGCCACAAATCAACGCACACTCAGGTGCATTAGAGGTCTACGGTACGGAGAGACGCCATCTTAGTTAAAATCTAACCGGAGGGGCATGGGACTGATAGTTTAGCTTTCCCGTTTCACACTGCTTAAGAAACAAGCGCAGCAATTACAAGTATTAGTTTAACTCAAGCATAAAAGATCCAGTGCAAGTGCTAACCTATGCAAATTGCTTCTTGGTTTGCTTTTGTGTTCGCACGGCCTTAGAGGTGATTCACGCTTGCGTGCGTTGACGTCACACAGTCGGGGCTCTTGACAATATAGGCAGACAGATTTCTATTCCTGCGTTTCAGCATGGGCGTTCGCATTGCCACGTTTCTGTTCACTGCCTTGCTTGTGATAGCATGGCCATTTGCAGTTCAAGCCAAAATGTTTGCAGACTGCACCTTTGGAAAGATAAATACAACAGAAGGCCAGAAAATGACCGCGAAATTCACTGCCAAGCTTGCAGCGTTCAAGCATATCAGCCATTCCTGCTTTGTGGAGACAGACGGGCAAAATCATCAAAATCATTTCTTACAAGTGAGAGCTAAAAGAAACAAAGAATCAAAAGGTGAGGATATGTCGCACGGTCTGCGTTTAGGTGTTAAACTCGCATGCATCTGAACTTTCGAGGCTTGAACTGCTTTCGAACTAAACATAATTATAACTTTCCATCAGAGCGTCCATGTGTGCACGCGAAAGCAGTTGTATTTTAAATCAGGCACTGATATTGAGCGAGACGAACACGAGGTGAAGATTTTTATTTAATAAACCGAAACGTTTGAAATTGTCTGGGGCGCGTAGCAAGTTTACACCCGAAACTAAATTTGCGTGCAACAGCTTTGCCAAGGGAGAGCTTTTTTTTTTTATCAAGGGTTACAATAAAATGACCTCCGTTCTGTTGTTCAACAGAATTTTAGTAATTTAATAATTGCGCGCTGTACATTGAATGCCAACTTTTGCTGAAGCTCTTTTTGTTAGTTCCTTTATAACGAGAATTACTATAGTCACTACTCAGCCTGACTTTCTCTGCTGAGGAACTTTAGGGTATATTATTATGTTGGCATTATATCACCCTATAAGAATATTTCTAGCAACACTCTTGCACTCTAAACAAACCTGTCTGTTAGGGAGCGCGGAGGCTACGATTGATCTGTCGACTTCTTTAAGAATACAATAAATTAGCTTTCTAAGAGAATACGATTCTTGGGCTCTTTCTATTCAACCAAAATTTTCCGAACTTTCGTAGCCGGGCTAAATGGTACGAACATTTCCTTGGAAAGTTTCTTAAATGAATTCCCAAAACGCGATTCATTTAATCGAAAATTCCGAAAAATCCGCCGGGGAAATCAGCTGGAACAGAAATTCCCGGTAAGAAATCTTTAAAACTTTTGGCATACCTCGCAAGGTTTGCCTCCTTTTCCCGAAATTTCGAAAAATGCTGTTTTATTCGCCACTGGAAATTTCCCGAAATCCAAACCGCATTTTTTTGTCAAATGGAAAGCGCCCCTTGTCTCAGCATAGTTGTCGGTATAAATACAGTTCATTGAGAACAACGACAGCAAGAAAAGCATTTTAAATTCCTTCGATGGATAATTCGTGTGGAAAAGTGTCGGCTAAAGCAAAGCAAACAGTACATCGCCTTTACAACAAGCTTAGAATATCATCAAATTAATGTGGCAGGCAATACACCACGGATTCCACGCGCGAGCAAGCCGACACACCCGAGCACCCGCGCACTCGCGCACTCGCGCGAACAGAGTTAATAATAATAACAATAACAACTTTATTTAAGTGTCAAATGTCAATCAACACGTCCGAGCTGTCTGTTATAACGAGAGAAGATCAAAAAAGATATTCCTTTGGGACTACGTATACTTTAGTGTAATTCTGCAATAGCGGAAGTGGCTTCCATACATTTCTTTGTTTTTTCGGCCGGGGATGTAGCGTCTGTCTGTAATAACGGCGGAAGTCGTTTCCATACATTTCATTTCTTTGTAGTTTCGGCCGGGGATGTAGCTTCTGTCTGTGACAGTGGGGTGTCCCAAAGCGAGAATTGACTGTGGTTAATTGTTAATTTTTTCCTACTCGTGTGGACCAATTGTTTTTGCAATCCACTCACAAATAAATCATTTTGTTGAACAGGATTCCTGCACGTGTCAGTATATGGAACAGACGAGTCGCGGATATTGGGACATTTGGACGTATCCACGTCTGAAGCTGATTGGAGTTCTCTTATCGTTTGCCCGTCTCGTTACAGCAATGAAGTCCAAGATAAACATTTAATATTTTCAGGGTCTCCAAACCTCTCTTTTACAGTACAAATAGATAGTTCACCACGGAGGATAAAACTAAATGAGCCACAAACGGTGCGAGTCACCCCGGAGAATGTTCAAGTCTTCCAGTTCTTGCCACCAGAAGACATCGCAAAGACACAGCTTGATGTTACTGTTACTTCTGAGTCAGGTGACGTGCCAGCTTATTTGAAAGTGTCACGTGTTTGTAAGGATGTCGAAAAGGACAATATTGACGAAGTGGACTACAAGGGTGAGTCAATTCGTCTTTCGTTTGCAAAGAAAGGACGGATTACTTTGTCCAAGGTCTCTGTTCCTCCTTTGACTGATTCCACATCCAGCTGGTTTATTGGAATTGCAATTAAGAATGCGACAGGAGAAACACCGTTTAATGCAAAAAAGTCTGTCACTTTAGAACTGAACAAATCATTTGATTACTCCTATGGTGGAACAATATCTCTCTTCGTGTTGTTGTCAATAGTTGCTGGTCTTTTGATATCATTAGCATGGGCATTCTGCATTCAGCGTTTACACCAGAACACGGATAAATCTCAAGGCACTGAAACTGAACTCTCACGTCAGGGAAATCAGCCTCAACAATCTTCATCCAGAAGGAAGCCACGTGCAAGCAGTCCTCTCGTCAATAAAATCAAGACTATTAAGCCGACGCATTCGTACACCGCTGCCATTGTGGGTTTTATGTTGATGATCGGTGCTGGTCAGTTTGTCTTTGCCAACTGGCATCTAATGAAAGACGAAGGTGATAGAGACATCTGTTATTACAATGACTTTTGCTACAGAGTAAGTCAGTGGCATGATATACCATTTAACTTAATGATAAGTAACTTAGTGTACATTATTCATGGCCTGATTTTAGCTACATTTGTTTACTATTGGGAACGGAAAGAAAGGCTTACTAAAAAAAATCTTTCCAAGCCAGAGGAACATGTATTTTCCATTGGATACGCTTTTGCCTGGGCAATGATTTTTGAAGGTCTTTTTTCCCTAGTTTACCATCTTTGCCCAAGTAAGTTGACATTTCAGTTCGATACTGCTTTTATGTTTGTTATAGCTGGACTGATTGTCATTTCGTTGTACAATGGTACCGCTAAAGATCCTGTTGGGGCAGCAAATTTTTTCCTTTATTTTTTAGTTCCACTTTTAATTTTCAATTACCTTGGGGCAGTCCGTCATTCCGAAACAGGATTACCTACTCTAATAGAAATATTTATTTTCGTCGCTTTGGGATTCTGGTTGGTAGGTGTTTTTATTTGGGCCGGATTAAAACTGTTTAAAGCTGACCGAGATAATGGGAACAATGCCGTTATTATGTCAATTGGCTTTGCCGTTGGTTTCATTGTCCCAATTGTTTTTCTCATTTGTTTTAATAGTAATCTTTCTCAAGCATTTTTGATTTCTTGCATTGCAGAAAGCGTTATTGCCATTCTTACGAAGTTTGTAGCTCAATGCAGACGCAAACGCCTGGAATGCGAACGTTATTTAGTTTGCGGAATTATTTATGTCTTGCTAATGTTAAGTTTGTGGAGTTATGCTTTTTATTTGTTTTTTGAGAAAGGAACAACTGATAAGGCGGAAACTCCTGAAAAATCCCGAAATCTAAACCAAGACTGTATCACGAGGGGTTTTTTTGATGACCATGACTTGTGGCATATCTTGTCATCTCACGCTTTACTTATGACGGTGTATTTGGTCATGTCTATGAGCCGCGAGTGAAGGAAAAAACGCGCGTAATATATTTGTCTGAAAACCCACATCAAAGATTGTTGATGGGATTTGTAATAAGTAATTTTGGCTTCTTCGAAAACGTTTATGACGCAGCAAGGTGTTCATGGACGTGCTCGCAAAACGTACGTTTCTTATCATCCAATCAGAAACAGCACGAACATCACTCTGAAAATGACTTGGCAGTTTGTCTTCATATCGCACAAACGAAGTATTACGGATAGTGAAAATACTTTACAGAACATCTTTGACCAAAAAGGGTTAAATAAAAGCTACACAGGAAGTACACAGTCAAACCTCCGGCTGTGACCACCTGTCGTGAGCGAACATCTCGCTCTCATCAGCGACCGGTTTTCCAAAATACCACAAGCTTCCAAATCAAATCATTACATTTGAAACCTCTGGTAAGCGACCAACTCTCGTAAGCGACCGCGACCACTTTTAGAACTAAAAGTTTGAAATTTTCTTTTGTCTTTTGTTTGTTTTTTTTTTTTTTAACCTCCCGTAAGCGACCACTTGACAGATAATAGAGCGAAAATTGGTTAATAAGGTATTGTAACATTATCGCATTCCTGAGGAAGGAATTTTCTCAATGAGAAGAAGCGGATTTTTTTTCTTTTTTTGGAATTGACTTTTCACATGAATAAAATATTTAAAACATGGGGTAAATCTCTGCAGTTACCATATGCTAATGAGACAAAATTTTGACCCAATATGGTATAAGCCCTCGTAAGCGACCACTTACCGTAAGCGCTTACGGGAGGTTCGACTGTAATGATATTAACAATGCAAAGAATTCAGTATCATGTTTCTTGGCAAACGATTGCGAAGGCAACTTTTTGTACTAGTTAGGTTTCCAGTGGAACTCACTAAACCGCCACCTGCCAGAGCCCGGGACTGGCCCGCGGATAACGTATTACATTGAGGTACACAGGAAGTACTTCATGTTACTTGATATCGAAGTCTGTTTATTAGTGTAGCTTTTTTGAACACTTATCACCTAATTTACTGTAGTTTTGCTAGTTTAATGAAGCAGTACAATGAGGTACACATAAAATACTTCATGTTATTTGATATCGAAGTGAGCTCAAATATTGTTTGTTAGTGTAGCTTTTTTGAACACTTATTACCTAATTTACTGTAGTTTTGCTAGTTTAATAAGTAAACGCAGCACAATGAGGTACGCATAAAGTACTTCATGTTACTTGATATCGAAGTGTGCTCAAATATTGTTTATTAGTGTAGCCTTTTTGAACACTTATTACCTAATTTACTGTAGTTTTGCTAGTTTAACTCGGACGCAGTACAATGAGGTACACATAAAGTACCTCAAGTTACTTGATATCGAAGTGTACTCAGATATTGGTCATTAGGGTAGCTTTTTTGAACACTTATTACCTAATTTACTGTAGTTTTGCTGGTTTACTGTTTAATGGTTTCAAATATTATCACCTGCTTTGTATATATAGCACGTTTCATTTTGAAACTGGATAAACAACGTTATGTCTTCATGCATGTACTACATATGCGTATTATACCACAGAGAATTAACTAAAAACACCACTAGCTGATAATGGGTTTTTGCCCGATATTTTCTATCAATCTCACAACTACTAGGCGTGTGATATCAGTTCTTGTAATCTTTGGTAGCTATGACTTAAACTCAAGATTGCGGTTTTTGTAATGTTTTAAACATATAAATAAATGACCCATAAATATGTTAATGTTGGATCTCGGTGTTTCTTATTGAAATGTGCTATTTTTATTTGTGAATTAACTTTGGACATGTAGGCAGAGTACTCTGTTGTCGGTATCACAGGAACTTTTAGTGAGTGCTCAGCAATCACTAGTGGTGGATCCAGAGGTACACAAAGGGAAGTGCAAGTGAAGGTGTCAGCGTTCGTCCATTTCTTGCACGTGTAGGGAAAGGTTGGCCCTTCCTTTTGCATCCATAAGGAGGCGGGTTGGGAGGGCAAAACATGTTTGGCCCGCCTGCCTTCCCGATATTCATCAGCAAAATGGGAAGCTCTTCAATTCCCCTAATGTTCGCATAACATCAAGTAAGTAATTATAATCCATCAAATATTTTCGCTCGCGCGCGATTGGTCTAAACGCGTCACGTGACCGAATATTCCTCAGCTAAAACTAGGGAATATCCGCGGATATTCCCCAATTTTCAAAACCGCGTGTGTTGCGAAAAATATTTGAAGGATAATAAACAATATAGCCTCGATTTGGCATGAAAATATGCTCGCATATTTGTCCGTGGACATTATCTGTTCCTCAAAGCTCACAGTTTTCTTCGAGCTACGCTTTCGGAAAACTGTTCGCTTCGCGGAACAGATAATGTCCGCAGACAAATATCCTGGCATATTTTCGCGCCAAATGGAGACCATCGTTTATATATTCACCTTTCAATAGACAATATTCGTATTCTCGGTATTGGACTGGAACTAGCTTGCAGTGCGGACTCATGCGAGGGAATGTCATTAAAAAAAAATGCTATTTGCATTTGAAGACTCGCCACATTAGCCTCAATTGCAAGTTACTCAATTACCGAGAATACGAATATGGTCTAATGAGCGGAGTTTGATCTGCCCTGTACGTAATCACCGCAGGTCAGCACTTTTGATGCAGATAAATTACTTTAATACACCTTGCGATCGATGTTACCTGTTTGGTTTCAATTTATCAATACCATTCATATGGCATTTTAACTACACTGAGAAGTTCCTAAACTCGTTATACATGTGGACTTTGTGAGAAATATTTACAAACACATTGCTCATCGAATATAAAAGATGCCTTTAAGAATGGAACTCTCTGTAAAGCACAAACCGTCCAACACTAAAACGCCCACTACAATCCTGAGACCGATTGTCAGTCACATTACAAGTCTTTGAATATTGGCATGGAAATTATTTCAAGTTGGGATAATGTAGACATTACGTTCAACTAGCTACTAATAAAAATACGGGCTATTTCTTTTCTAATCAAAAATATCGTCTTCCTGTCCTGGAATCATGATTAAAATGTAACATAATTTTCTGTGCTCATAGCGCAATAATTTTTTTTGAAAGTACACACTCGTCCACAAGCATATTAATACTCTGAGATCGCAATTAGTACATGTTAAGGACAAAACAGAAAACCTTAAAAACCGCAGAGCAGTCTATTACATCCATTGCGACAAAGAATATGCCGGCGAAACCTCTCGTTTATTAGAATCTAGAGTAAAGAAACATCTTCCGAGGAATTCATTAGCCATGTATGAACATTGCCAGCCCACGGGACATTCGTTGGATTCTAGCAAAACAAACGTTCTTGCCATAGAAAGCAACACGTTCAAACGTCGCATAACGGAGGCAATTGAGATCCGGTTACGAAAGCCCTCTTTGAACAGAGACAATGTTTTCGAATTGGCTAACATCTATGACGTCAGTTTAGCTCTTTAGAGACCCTAATGAACATCATATAACCCTTCTCAAAATTCACATTTTTATTGTGGCCGACGAAGTTTGGTTGAGCTGAACGAAACATTCCATTCCATAGTGCGCTCTGGGTACACAAAATCATTTTATAAGTTATTTATTTCTTTTCTGGTCAAGGGTCACCAAGAGCTAACGAATGAGTCTGTTCAAGATGTGGTTTGTTGTCTCTACTTTAAAGCTCTTTTCGTACTCGTGACGTTTTTGATCACTTGTGATCTCTGATTGGTTTACACTCAATTTTCGCGCGCAAGTAACAACCAGTCAGAAACACAACACAGATCTCTGTTAAACTACGTCATCAATATGGAATTTTTAGAACCCAGTCTCAGACGTGTCTTGAACCGGTTAAAAAGTGTGCGATTGGGAAAGTCTAGTTTGTTTTGTTTATACCAGATAGATGCGACTACAAGCCATTAAGGTAAGTCAGGTTGCTTAGTAACCACAATCTTCAGAAGATTGCGTGTGATTCCTTCTACAAGTGGCGCAATTCGTAGAATTTTTTGAGGCCAAATAAATTGAAAAACAGTTTGACAGCGGATGTAAGCATGAGACATCAAAAAGGCAAGAAAGAACTCATGCATCAAAGGAAGTACAGTTTTCAGTCTATCTTTTAGATATCTGTATTTTCTGCTTGTAGACATGTTTCTCTGCTTCCATTATATATTCCTGTCCATTGAGGATTGTTTTTGTTCTTACAGAGCCACCAAATAGCAAAGATGCAAAACAAGACGAGCACGGTCGCCACTACTATAATGCCAGCGATCAGCGTCCATTTTTTACTGCTGTCGTGTTTTACTGTAACGCGTTTTTTTACTTGATTGTTACCATCGTCACGCGGCAAGGTCCTAGGACGAGGGGAGGCACTACTTCCGCCCGCGGAGCCTGGTTCAGCGGAACCCTGGCCTGATTCATAAACATTCTCACACGCATCTTCGTCGTCTCCGACACAGGGCGTTTGCGAAATGTCTGACTCGCCTTCGGTCTCAGCCTCGGGTGCCTTGGAAGGAAGCCCTTTTAAAAAATTTTTCTTGCTGTTGTTATTCGGGATTTTGTTTTCGTTAATCTCACGATCCCCTGAGACTTCGGAAAATATGCCCGACTCCTCTACCACCGAACCACTTTCACCCGAGTTCTCTTCCGATCCGGACCCTTCTGATCTGCAATCGTCTTCGTCATCTGAGCAAGGCATTATTGAATTTCCAGAAAAACTGACCGCTGACACGTGTGTATAATCCTTGGTGGTTACCATCCGTGCGGTTTTATATGAAGTGATAGGTTGAACCCTCTTTTTACTTGTTACCGCTGCTTCCGTTGTTTGTTCTGAGGCTACAAGAGGTGTAGTTGATGGTTTTGCGACAGTCGTTGGAGGCAGGTCCTGTGAACCCTCACAACTCCACCTTGGGTGACCTTGGGTTGTGAAGCCCTCTTTCCCGTTAATAAGTTCTTGAAGGATGTCCACATTATTGAAATTTATTTCCTGAAAACAGCCTACGAATGGTATTCTTGGCAAACGCTGATTCCAAGAGAAACCACTCGTCCCCATTCCACCGATCAGGACGTCCCCCTCACCTTGTTTAAGGTCAAACGATATAAATGTTCCCGGAAAACTCCTCCTTACGTGAAAGGCTCCGTCAATTACTAAGTAAAGCTGACGTTGGTCTCTTCGAATGTCAACGGAATGCCAAGCATTATCGCTGATCACTTTGTCACTCAAGTGTACGTAGATTTCACCCCATCCAAGGTTCCATCGTACGAGGAGGGAGCCGCGGTTTAGCTCAATTCCTAAATAGTCCCTTCCACGCCCGCTCACCAAAAGTGAACCATTTTGATTGGCTGTTTTGAATCGCAAAATGATTCGATCATGTCGCGTTGAGATGCCTTTTTCGGAGCGATTGAACACCACGTAATCTGATTGGCTAAGGCCAAGAACCGGAAGTGCTGTGAATGTAAGCATAAGGACACTTAGTGGTAAGTCGATATGGAATAGTCTGGTACAGTGTAATAAAATGTCGTGACTAGATAGCGTTTTTTTTACTCTGTCACACAACACTTCCACTCGTTGAAGTGAGCATGGTGTAATGATATAAACAGAAGAAGGATCCTTCTTTTTCATGAGTTAGAGTTAAGTAAACACACAGTCCTGGTCGCGGCGAAACCACGGCCACAGGTAGCACATTGAATAAAAGAGTGTTTAATCCATTGGGAAATGCAGAGATTGGTAGCTGTTGAAACATTTGTAAAAAGCCTCGTTGAAACAACTTATACCAATTACGCATCACCGCCATCATGATTCAAAATAATTTGAGCGATCAAAGAGGTCTGCTTATCAGAAAATCTGATCATTACAAAAGACATAGGCCGGCAGGGCGTACTTGGATCACATGCAAAGGAAAATAACCACTAACCCCCTCGAAGGGCGATTTACAGTCAAACCGGATGTTTATTCCGCTAATATTTACACTGTTGGGGGTATATTTCTCCAATATCGACTGGCAGTTCCTCAAACAACTTCTAAATTTAATCCAAACTTGCTGAAGGAAGTCTCGTTTGCTAGGACCTGTTACAAGTCCAGTTTCGTTTTAACAGATTATGGTTTTAATTTTTCCTGTATTAACTTCAATAACTGAAATCGCTTCTGTGTTCANTAGTGGTAAGTCGATATGGAATAGTCTGGTACAGTGTAATAAAATGTCGTGACTAGATAGCGTTTTTTTTACTCTGTCACACAACACTTCCACTCGTTGAAGTGAGCATGGTGTAATGATATAAACAGAAGAAGGATCCTTCTTTTTCATGAGTTAGAGTTAAGTAAACACACAGTCCTGGTCGCGGCGAAACCACGGCCACAGGTAGCACATTGAATAAAAGAGTGTTTAATCCATTGGGAAATGGAGAGATTGGTAGCTGTTGAAACATTCGTAAAAAGCCTCGTTGAAACAACTTATACCAATTACGCGTCACCGCCATCATGATTCAAAATAATTTGAGCGATCGAGGTCTGCTTATCAGAAAATCTAATCATTACACAAGACATAGGCCTGCAGGGCGTACTTGGATTATATGCAAAGGAAAATAACCACTAACCCCCTCGAAGGGCGATTTACAGTCAAACCGGATGTTTATCCCGCTAATATTTACACTGTTGGGGTTATATTGCTCCAATATCGATTGGCAGTTCCTCAAACAACTTCTAAATTTAATCCAAACTTGCTGAAGGAAGTCACGTTTGCTAGGACCTGTCAGAAGTCCGGTTTCGTTTTAACAGATTATGGTTTTAATTTTTCCTGTATTAACTTCAATAACTGAAATCGCTTTTGTGTTCGTTTGTTCTGAAAAACTCAAAGGGGACATGGGAACTTTCTTGAGCAGATTTAAATTGAACTGACCGCAAAATACTTGAATTAACCAACAATCATTGGAAACTTACGCCACAACATCAACAACGTTGTGCGAAATAGAAATTCCGATTTGAGTGAAAGATCGTTAGCAAGGTAACGGTGAAATATATTACACCTTCCTCTGTGTTGCTAACCTTGTCATTTAAATTTTCCTTTCAGATTTCTAATCATTGCTCTGAATGTTAGCTCTAGCTGAAAATTTGATGGTTCAATGTTCATTCTCAACATTTCATCGAAAGCGATTTCTTCTGGTCCTGATCTTTTTATTTTCTAAACAATCCTTTGATAACATCACGAGAAATATCTCGAGAAATAACATAACATAACTTTTGTGCATTTCCTTGTAACATGAATGCTGGAGTGTTTAGATCTGTCTCTTATCTCTAAAGAACATATATATGATGGGTATACTATTCTCTATTTCAGTTGGAACCCCGCCAGCAATAATATGGAATTTAACACACTGTGGCGCAATTCGCGTAACCTTTTGATATGACAAGAAGTTTCACATTGTATTTATCATCAGTTTGTTCACGGCTGTGGTCGGTCTAAACTATAGACTCCTAATGCGTGCGATTTGTTGAACACATGGAACACATTTACTCTGGTCCAGACATGGGATCGCGTGATGTTATAAATTGGCGAATGTGTGAAAACAAATTACATCAAATAATAGCGAAACCGAACTGCTTCTGCAATTTTACGACTCCCGACTACGTTTTAATTACAATGTCCAAGTGGTTTGAGCCATAAGAGGCTGGGAAAAAGTATATGGCCCTGACGTAAAGCAGTGATTCATGTGAAAAATCAAAGCACAAGGTTTTGTTGTTGTAACAGGAAAAGAAAGATGACACTCGCTTGAGCTTTCAACCTCAGAGTATCGGCTGACGCAATGAGCTGCAATGTCTACTCCAGAAAGATTTTTCCGCTTACATGCTACAATTCCCTGTAAAGTTGATAAAAAGCTATAAAATAACTTCTGATATTACGATAAAGAGAGCCGGTACTGACAGTTTATGACGAGAAGGGTTTTAAAATCGACTGAAAGACTACTGAATAACTAAAGCTAGCAAGAAACCGCAAGTAATAAAATATGTAATGGCAACATTCTTTCTCAGTGTTTTCTTATCAGAAACAAATGTGCCTTTCGTGCAAGTTAGAGCATATCACAGATAAAAATCGCTAAATAAACATTAGGCTGTTATGGTTAAAGGCACACTACTTCATGTTTTAAGATACCTTGTTCGCAAGCGGCTCCTCTGAAGCCAGTGGCCGTACAGTCGCACTTAGTTGTGATGAATCGGTTCAGACATGTGCCATTATTGAGACATGTATTTTCTTTCTCACACTTGTCAATACAACCAGGAGCTATTCCATCCGAGTTCTCCACGATCGCCGTTCTTCTATTCCCTCGCCTTGCTGGGTACTCAAACAATTCTATGTCTGCTATACATCCCAGAAATCTGCTCAGAAGAATCACCGAAGGCTGGGTGAGTCTGTTTGCGCTGAGTTTAGTCGGTAGTCCACCAAAGTACATCGGACTTTTGATGATTAATCGCGTCTTCTCGGGGCTCTCTATTGTTGATTTCCATCGATTGTCCACAGAGATTGTCGTTATACCATCGTTCTTCTCTAATAAAACTTGATGCCAGGCTAAGTCGTTCAAATTTTCCCCGACTTCGACCGCCATTGCCCCGGATCGTGTTCCATGGCTGCATGTCAATAGTATTGTCCCTTTAGACAGTTCAACTCGTAAGAAATTCGTCTGTCCCACGTCGTCCATGTACAATAGCAGCGCATTTGCCAGGATAGTTTTGAAGCGAAATCCAAGCCCCTTGGTTTCTGAGACATTCCATCTTTTCACTTGAAGGAATGAAGTGCGGGCATTTGTAAGCGTCTCCGCAGAAGTCCGATTAAGCATGAAAGACACCCAGACGTACAACAGACAGGGAACATTCAAAATGGCATACATCGCTTATTTTCTACGTTTGTATCGCGACCAGTTAATCGAGAATTCTCTCTATCTTGCGCGCTTGTAGATATCTTTGCTCCACGCATCACTCTCCTTGTCTACGCGAGAGAGCCGATCAGTTATAACTTTCGATAAACCGGAAGGAAATTTAAACCACGCCTACAGTGTTTGTTACTATTTTTTGGCACATAATCACGACATTGGCATGATTGAACACAGCGCTGATCAGTCAACTTCGATTGGAATCTTACAAGTAATTCTCCTTACAATGTTCACCCTTTGTTATATATGCTGATTAGGAGAATTGAGGGCCAATTACCAAACTAAGTGAGGTGAAAGTCTTTTTGAAAATCAATGCAATCCAAGCACCCTCTCGCTATATGACCCTATATCTGTTAGCCGTTGGACTGATTTTATTTCAAAATATCAACAGTTGTAGTGAAACAAACCGCACAATGGGCCATTCAAGTGTAAAGTAACGACGGAAAAATTGAGATATTAATTAACTGTCTTTAGTTACATTTTATCCTCTGCGTTGGTCTTAAAAATAAAAGAATCTGTCCGGAATCATAGCTCAGGGCATCAGGGATACCTTGAGGCATGAAATTTTCGCGGGAGTTTAATTTCGCGGATTTTGGATTTTTCGAGTTTCGCGCGAACAAATTTTCGCGACACTTTACTCCTGGGAATAATTTTTCGCGGATTTCCTGTACGGTACTTGAAAGTAACAAAAACGGAAGCCATTTGGTAATTTCGTTGTTTAGAGTATTTTTTTTTTTTAATTTGTCAACTCCGATTACAACTGAAAGAGCGGGTACTCCGGTATGATTCATACTGCAGTGCTATCTATAGAGGAGCAGAGTTACGTACAGAGTTGTCTGTATAGAGGTCAGACTCTCAATTGCATTACCGTACTTATTGTAAAGAAAATACGGTAGGTCGTTTTCGTTACACTGTTTGCAACCAATTTCATTGAAACTCAGTGATGTTAATAAACCTGAGTAACTTAGTGCACTATTCTGCGTAATTTTCTAGCGTATTTGTGACCATTAGTCTTCGCTAAAATGGCTGCCAAAACGGTGAGCAATCGAAACGGGCTTCCTATAAATGACTACACAGTCTGAAAACCCCAAGATTTACGTTTTCCTTTCAGCACTCGATTGCAATGAGTTCTTTTCAGTATTACACCGTGCAACCTTGTTTCACCTCATCTCATTGATCGTCGCCAATTATCAATGAATAATCAGTTGATTACCCATCGATTACTCATTGATTATTCATTGATGTCATTGATCATCGATTAGATACCCCTGGTAAGTACATACTAGTCAGTTACAACTTTATTTACAGTGTCGGATCTAGGGGAGGGACCCGGGCGGCCCGCCCAGCCGCCTTATTTTGGGCAAAAAAGAAGAAATCACAGAAGGAAGAAAGGCCGGCAGGCCAGGCAAACAAAACCGCCCCCACCCCCTCCCCGCTTAGCTCAAGGTCTGGATCCGCC